CCAAGCAACTGAGGGAATTCTTAAACAGAACTGAGAACTGTAACATTTACAAGCTTCCCAACATTGTTGAAAACAAGAGAATAGATTTTAGAAGTGATATGGATCCTATGCATTAAACTTAAGAAACATAATGCTTTATGTGAGAGCTAAATGCCCTGCAGATTGTGTGCCAATGACAAATGATAGACTTGATATATATATATATATATTTTGGGTAAGTGCTAATCCAAGAACTCACATGAAATCCTTTAAGCAAATCTAATCCTGTCATATGAAACAGAAAATGTGTCTATACAAACCTCATTTAAAATAATTGACTAATAGAAGTTTAAAAATAATTTTTCAGAACCCTATTGATTCAGCTGCTACAATATATTGCCTATAATATTTATTTATCATCCAAAAACTATGATACATGCAAAGAAACAGAAAAGTGTGATCCATCCACATGAAAAGAAATGGGCAATAAAAATGTCTTCTAAGGGGACCCAGATGTTTGACTTAGTGGATGAAGATTTTGAAGCAACTATGATAAATATGCTCAAAGAATCAAAGGAAATTATAACTAAAGTAATAAATCAAGACCTAACAACATATGAATACCAACATATGAACAATGGGAGTATCAAAGGATAAACACAAATACACCCACACTTTAACATATCACAGTAAAAATGTTGAAAGACAAAGACAAATAAAAATCTTGAAAGCAGCAATAGAGAAACAACTCCTCATGTACAATAAACTTACAGTGAGATAAACAGCTGAATTCCCATCAGAAAGAGACGAAGTAGGACATATTCAAAGCAATGAAAGAATAAAAACAAAAACAAAATAATAACAAACCAAAAAACTGTCAACCGATATTCTCTATCCAGCAAATCAAAACCATAATAAGATATCACTCCATACTCATTAGGAGAGCTATGATAAAAAATATGGACAATTGTCCAGAACACTGAGAAATTAAAGCCTTCTTATGTTAATGAGGGATACAAAAGGGTCCAGTTCCTGTGGATAAGTTTTTGGCACTTCCTCAAAATGTTAAACAGAATCTCCATGTGGCCCTGTAATCACACTCCTAGCTATAAACCCAAGAGAAGGAGACACATGTCTATCTACACAAAACTTGTCCACAAATGTTCATAGCAGCATTATTCATAATAGCCAAAAAGAATACAAGTAATCATGTCCATCAGCTCAGGAATGGATACATAAAAATATGACATGTGTAGAGAACGGGTTATTATTTGGCAATTAAAAAAATGAAATATTGATACATAATTACATTGATTGCAACATGGATGAAACTTGACATGTTATGCTATATGAAAGGAGTCAGTCACACAAGACCACACATGGTAAGACTGCATGTATAAGAAATTGCCAGGTAAGGCAGATCTATAGAGACAGAGCAGATGGGTCAGTGCCCGGGACCGATGTGGGCTGGGGAAGTGGCCATAAGGAGTTTCTTTCTGGAGTGATGTAAATGTCTCAGATTAGACTGTGTTGTTGTTTGAACAACTCTGGGAATACACTAAACACCATTGAATCATGCATTTTCAAGGGTGAAACCCTGCAATACAAGAATTATAGCCCAATAAAGCTGCCTTTTAGGTAATAGCACCTGTCTCAGAGTTCTCATCAGGGTAAATGAGGTAACTGTGAAGTCATTAGCCAGGTGTTTGGCACATAAGAGTCCGTAAGTTATCATTGCTCTTCCTGCTATAGTCATTGTCACTGTTTCCTACACTGTGACTAGCCTGGTCATTCTTGAAAAGCATGTGCAATCTGACTCAGGTTTATGTGCCCATACTTGGTGATTACACAGACTTGTGATGTCAATTAGGAGAAACATAAGAATAGCAGATACAATTAAAATATAATCTTACTTAGTGAAATAAAAAATACTTTGAGGCAAGATACTTGGTGGCAATATCAGAAGGGCTTTAAAAGTCTTTTTAGGGTTCATAGATCTTATTTAGTTAGCTACCTTTGGGTTTCATATATAACCACCAATCACTTAATGTTCCTAGGTGGTGTTATCAAGGATTCCATGAACTCGACAGAATGTCAGCATTTTCCTGGGGTAGTTTACTCCTCCATCAAGTACCCCAATCATGCTATGCTAAGAAAGACAATTCTTCCACAGCTATTCTAGAACAACAGAAGCCTGGACACATGCACTATTTCTAAATGTGCCAAAGGAGGCAGCATAACATATTTTAGACAGATTAATTGGCAATTTTCTCCTGCTTTTACTGCTCAAAGAAATCTGTCCTGCATGGACGACACTTTTTCCAAAAACCTACCCTGACGCTCCTCTGGGTTCTCCAGTACCCATCTCTGTCTTTATTTCATCAGCCTGTCATGGAATTGCCTGCTCTCTGCCCCTCATCAGACAGTAGACAACCAGGGCTCAGCTCTGGCAGGACGCAGCCATGCATAGCTCAGAATCTCACTCATTACTCACAGGAGATCCAAAGTAAAATGCTCATTTCAGTTTGCCTTCGTCTTGAAGAATATTTATTTACTATAAATCAGACCATCTGTCACAGTGCTCCTCAAATCACTTCTTAGAGAACTACTACAAAATATTCCCAAACTGAAAATCTGAGGACCAGGGGGAAAATCTCTTTACCAGTTTGGAAATCACATTGTCTCAGAATTGTAAGACCGTTTTCTCAAATCGAATGATGCAAGACAAACTCATAATTAAGCAATGTATTTTAACTTAAAGCTGACAGTCCAATACTGTAGCTGAAATTGGGAGAATAGAACAAAGAGGATGGCCCCCCACCAGGGATCTGTTTTCACAATGCTCCCCACTTAGGAGCCCGAAGGGGCACAAGGAACAGCAGCCAGAGAAGGGAACCGCCTTGCTAACTCCTGCTGGGTAGTTGCCTCAGTTAGAGACCCACTCAAAAACGCTGAACTGAGATCTACTTGGAACTTTAATTAGAATCTGAAAGAGCTAAGAACAACAAAAGCCATCTTCTAATATAAATGACATGCTATTTTTCTTCCTATGTTAATAGATTTGAAAGTTGAGGGACGCGGAAAACCATCAATCAGGGGAGACATAACAGACTTGGCAGCCACTTGAGGGACATTCCCATTCAATATCTTTTATTATCTGGCTAGACAGTGAACATTTTATCCTCCCTTTTTCTTCTTTAGAAGGCCTTTGATTTGTTCTGTAATGTGGCAAATGCCGCTGACGCTTGCACTTCCAAGTCAGGCTGAGCTCATGTTGGTAATGACTGTCTTTGGACAAGGTGGAGTTAATGTATTTGGAAGATGAATGGTGAAAGCATACAGATTTCTATGCCAATGACCAAAATACTAAATTCCAGAGGAGTTTATTACCCAGAGGAGTCTTTTTTCCTGTTCTTTTTCATGTCTTTATCTTTCACATAGTTGTCATTTACAGCTTTTGCTGGTAACTCCCATTCAGTTCAAAGAGAGCCAGAAATCTCAAGCTGCTGCCAGCCATCTCTATCCAGGGAACAGGCTCCAGGGCATGGCTCAGCCTTTAGGAGAGAGGCCTGGCTCATGGAGACCAGGGCGCCGACCAGCCCGTACCCCTGGTGAGGTAACTGGAAGCACCTTGCCCAATCTCCACAAACAAACCAGGATACTCTTAAGGGCGTGGTGTACCCCCTACCGCCCAGATGGCTTCCATTTCTGGTCTGAGCCTTTGTTGAAGAAAGCCATGGAAGAGATGCCTTCCTTTAGTGCACTCCGTGACAATCTCTAGCCCTTTTATTCAGGAAGGTCTGTTTTCCTTGAAAGCACATGGAAGAAGTCAGCCACACTGTCTTCATGCTTAGCAGTTATGCCCAATAACCACCACTGAATCCTTGGCCACGCCCTATTGTGTCCATTCTCAAACCAAAAGCTTTTTACATATGAATGTACACAGGAGCCCAACTCACACCAAATTCCCCTATAAAGCAAATGGTACTATACACATATTTTTACAGTTTTAACAGGAGTTAGGATTTGCACATAATTTAGAATTTTAAGGAGCTGTTTACAATGCCCTTTCAGCATCCAGTATTCACATACAAATGCACAAACACTTATGGGATACAGAATCTTAATTCCCCCTTTCCAGGAGGGAGAGAAATTTAAGACAGACTTAAAGCATTTTCTAGAGATATAATAAATGTTCAGAAAACTTTAACATGATCAAGACCACACATTTTCACTCTGCTACCTAAGCCTTCATCTGTGTCTGGCTGATTAATCTGCACTCAAGAATCTAAGTAACTGTTAAGCTTTCCTCCCTAAAAATAAGGAGATAATTTCAGAAAAGTAACAGATAAGCCCTTGAGATTTCACCTCTGATTGGCCTGAGGGACGCAGGTATCCACCTGACTTGGCTCTGCACTGAGTCCCAGCAAAGGTTGCCGGCCTTAGGCATCTAAGTGATGTTTAATGTCTAATCGAATAAAAAGATATGGGATGCACCAATGGGATCATTAGTCCCGTAAGAGGAGCACCGCCCTGCCACGGACAGCCACCCCACTTGGAATGAGTGTCTAATGCACAGGCATGTCATCTGCATCAGCAAAGTGCTTTCAGGGAGCAAATCAGATAATCAACAGAGCCATTCAGTTGGGAACTGTTGTTCTTTCAAAATGAAGACATTGCTGCAGCCATAGTCATGGACCAGTAAGTTAGGGGAGACCATTCCCTAGGAAGTTCATGTCATCAGACCTGGCTCTACACTCTTATGTGTAGTTTTCAAACTGCCGTGCTCTTCCAGTTATTCTAGAACAACACATGCACTATTTCTAAATCTGCCAAAGGAGACAGCATAGCATATTTTAGATAGATTACTTGGCAATTTTCTCCTGCTTTTACAGCTCAAAGAAATCTGCCCTGCAATAACAGAGCAAGCTAAGATACTTCAAGGCAAATCTTGGCGCCCGCCCCCTTTCTCACCTCCCGGTCCCAGTCACCTCCTTGCAGGCAGCAGGGGCTATACTCACCAGGCCTTTGCAGGTTGAAAGAGCCACTGAGGAATTTTTGTGTGACTCTAAGGAGCCTTGATAAAAACAGAAATCCTCGGGCGGGAAAGCCTGCACCGACTTGGCGCCGCCCTTCCCCAGGGTCTGCACTACGAACCCGGGGGCCACCAGCAGGCTGGACACTCTCAGCTGCATGTGGAAGTCATGCCTGAAGCCTCTCAGCCGGAGGTAAAGGGAGTCGGGGTCGGCGCTGAGCTGGGCCAGTGCCCGCCTCCTCCTCTGGGGGTGCGCGACGTCGTGGGACACGTAGTCGCCATTGCGGTCCACTTCATAAGGAGACACCAAGTCATACTCTGAAAGCAAGAGGCGGTGGCTGATGATTTCAGGATTCTGGAAAGGATCAGACATCTTTGAATAGACCCTCTTACCCAATGACACTTTCATCCAGTACGAAATGATGGAGGAAACTACGACTTCCAGCCAATGGCGTAGCAAACTGTAGAAGGCAGAGTTAAAAGGAAAATCTTCAAACTGGCCTTTTGGGATGTCCCTGCTACCCATAATGTGTTATTGCCAGCCCAGCAAATTCTGCCATGGTGGGAAAAATGGATTACAGACCAAAAAATGCTAAAAATGGACTTTGAGGATTTTATTTCATATATTTTACTTTAGACTCATTATAATATGTAACCATGTTTATAGTTCTATTATCTCTTTAGTTCTATTCTGTGCTTTTCATAAACATCTTTATCGAACTTATAAGAAATGTGTACTTTACAAACACCAATAATATATCAGTGAACAATTACAAAGACAAATATGATGGGCATTCTTTACTACTTAATATTTTGATATTTAATTGAAGCTACAGGAGAAGAGGCAGCCTGCACACATCCGCCAGGTCTCTCAGATGGTAACGTTGGGAAATGCTCCTCCATGTACCTGCTCTCTCTGAACAGCACTGCTGACCTCTCGTTGGCCTGGGGTCATGGCACTTGACTGTATTTCACACCCCAGGGCCTTTCAAAGACCTGCACCAACTCTTCTCCTCATCCTAACTTAGAGTATAGTAGCCTAGAACACATTCAAATAAATTATTTTCTTTAAAAAAGTCAAGAAAATCCCAGGGTGCCATCATATTTCATGGCACCTACAGGGTTTCAGTCCAAGATAAACTTACAGGTTTGCCTTGGTTTACATTTGAGTCACTGTCCTCTCTGTGGGAAGGATAGAGAGAAACTTCATAGCTCCTTGTATTAGCAGTTATGCTGTCAGCTGACTGTTCTGTTAGCTGTTTAATAACGGGGACCGTTTTTTGGCTTATCTTGAGTTGGACACACTTCATGGCACCATAACATAAAATAAAGGTCATCCTACAGGAGTGGCATTTGGTCATAAGTGAATGGTAATTGGGTAACTATTTTTTTCTGGAAAAAGAAGGTTTCTTCAAAAGGGAAGACTCCAAGCAGGTGCCTGTCCACATGTCCTGATGGCATTCTGGTGGGTCATTGAAAGGTCACAGTGGAACAGAGCAGGTGGCAGCCTGGCTGCTCAGAAAAGGCACATGCTTGTGTTTGGGAGGCCAAGAAGGCCACAGTGGTGAGGTCCTGTCTGCAGCCCCTGTGCAGAAGCCTGTGGCAAGGTGAGGCCCCAGACCAGGCAGCCAGCCCTCTGTGGCGCAGCCAGGCTCCCCTCCCTCAGGAGCCCAGGTGCGGGGCTGGTCTGGGCCTGGCCCCATGACGCAGGTCTGAACCAGCCTCTGGGGGCAGCTGGGGAGCTGGGCTACATGCAGGTTAGATGGGCAGCAGGTTCTGGTGGACAGCTTGACAACCAACCTCGGAATCTGTGTCCAAGCAGGGCATTTGTGTGTAAGAGGGTGAAATACATTGGAATTGTTCCCTATTTCACTCAGGAAAACAGCCAATCATACAAACATGGTTAGGCTGCATGCAGTGATGGGCAAAGGGGGAGCAAGTCAGGAATTAGTGCAGCTGGAGTACATGTGTGGTCACGGCTCTCCTGAGCTGCTCCAGAGACGAGAGTGAGAAGCGCCTGCCCCTGACTGCCTTCCTCAGCCCTGGCTCCCTGGGCTCAGAGGAAAGACTGGTGCTCACACCTTCCACCTGGTCTCCAGGGCCCTCCACCTCACCGCTGGCCTACTTCCAATCCAACAGAGGCCACGGAGTGAAGACAGAAGCCCACGGACTGTTTCAAACACTGGGCAATCAGCAAAGTTACTGCACATAAAACAATTATCGCCATTAACAAAATCAAATCCTTTCTAGGTGATATAAGCCATATTCTTATCATCTTTTACTTGGGGGACGTATAATATCTATTTTCAAAATAATGACTTTGATAAGCCTGTTTTACATAAACACAGCATTATGCTAATGTTTGAGAAGCAGCTATCTGATGGCCTCTTTACGGCATTTGCCAATTTCTCTGGTGTAAATATTCAACCATAGCTGATTTCCATTGCCAGTGGGATGCCCCTGAACAAGGTGTTTAGAAGAGATGTCCAGTCGCACAGTAGCATATCTACTTCTACCATGCAGATACAATGGACACAAACAGTCTCAAGGGCACAAATAAGAGTAAAACATAGTAAAACAATTATGAGGCCATGAGGTTTGAGTCCAGTTGACCCTTGAACAATATAGGTTTGAACTGCACTGGCCCACTTACACACAGATTTTTTTCACTTTCGAACTGGAAAAATTTTTAGAGACTTGAGACAATTTGAAAATAACATTTTCTTTTCCCCAGCCTACTTGATTCTAAGACTACAGGAAATCATCCCCACAACATGAAATATGGGTTACCTGAGTTTATGTTATCAGTAAGGCTTCTGGTCAACAGAAGACTATTAGCAGTTCAGTTTTGGGGGAGTCAAAAGTGAAACATGGATTTTCAACTAACTTAACCTATGTACCCTGAATCTCTGCAATGAACATTCTAAGGCCAAACGTATTTTAAGTTTGTTTTTAATATGATTTATTTCACTCTAAGCTTCTATGTTTTAATTTTCCACAATGAGCTCACAAAATTCCTGAAAAGCTAACAATCAGCTCATCAGGACTGGTGCACGCTGGCCCGGCACACCAGACTCCCCACCTCAAAGGCTCTGTACTCAGTGACAGTTGGATCTGAGAACACAGGAGATGATGTGTGGCAAGGGAAACCCGTCTCAACCAGGGAGGTTCCCCTCCCCCAGCTCCAGGACACAGGCATGGAGACATTTTTGCTTGTCACGAAGTAGGAGGGAATCGTAGTACTTCTGGAACCTAGCAGGTGAAGTCCAGGGATACTGCACATCATCCTCAATACACAGGACAGAACCTAACACAATGTTAACAGTGCCAAGGTGGAGAAATCCTGATTCAGTCAAAAGGCAGTCCTCAGTATCAACCATGTACTCCCACTTATGTATAAAAGCACATGTGAGAGGTCAGAGCTAAAGATTCAGTGAATGAACATCAGCACAGTGTGTCACCATGACAAGTTGGGGAGAAGTCAATTATAATTGTAGTAAACTGAAGAATTAAACTAACTGTTGAGCTTATGTTTTAGGATTATATTGTTTTGCGATTTCAAGAAAGAATTTAGTAGGATTCTTGATGTCTGAGAATCCTTTAAATAAGACCTTGGCCTTTTATAGACTTTTAATTCACACAAAGCTGCTCTGGTCAGTACACTGAACTACTTGATTTCAAGGTTTCTTGACCACAGCATCGAGTGTAAATTTCAATCTCTGATTTCAAACTGAGTGTGTAAGGTGTGGGCTGTCTGTGAGCATGCAAGGGCTGGTGTGTACCAGCCGTAGGGAGCCGATTTTGCACACTGCATCCTAACTCAGTGTTCAGTGACATCAGATCGATGGCTTGAAAGCAGCTGTGGTGGGAGTATTTCCCCACAAGAACCAGCAAATGTTACAAATCAGGGCTCCGAAGAGCCTATTGTTAAGCATTTACCTGCAAGAACCTGACAGAGCCTGCCCCATCTCATGTTACATGAATGTCTGAGTGTAAATCAATTAAACTTCCAGCATACACACTCTCATGCAGTCTCTTATTCTCAGGGGAACAAAATTCTAAAGAACTTCTAAGCCTTGCCCTGGGAGCTTCACCTCCTCTGGAATTAAAAAGTGAACAAGTCTTTGATATATCTTTGTTCTTAACAGGAGTCGCTATTTTTATGACAAAGGTAAACCTGTAGGAAAAAGCATTCAGGTCTCCTATTACAGAAGAGCAATGCTGAATCAGCCAAAACGAAATGGATGCATTTCTGAAATGCATCCAATGTCTGAAAACAGAATTTGTGTCAATGTGGGTAGCCACTGTTCCCTCACAAGATATGTGGAGTTCTCTTTATTTTCTTTAAAAAAGTCAGTACTTTCATCCAGTACGAAATGATGGAGGAAACTACGACTTCCAGCCAATGGCATAGCAAGCTGTAGAAGGCAGAGTTAAAAGGAAAATCTTCAAACTGGCCTTTTGGGATGTCCCTGCTACCCAAAATGTGTTATTGCCAGCCCAGCATATTCTGCCATGGTGGGGAAAATGGATTCAGACACCCAGCAAACTTTGCAATAAGTTTGAACTATGCGTTACTTTAAACAAACCTTATGGCCAAAAGAGTTATTCAAAGCCAATGCGTTTAATGGATACCTAGCTGTTCAATGGCAAACTGACCCCAGGGTCACGCAAGGTGTCTGCTAGCTCTACTACTCCAGGTGGAAACAGCACTGAGCAGAGCCTTCTCTCTGGTCCTATGGCAGTGGTCAGTGGGTCCCCAGCCACTCTCTTGACTTAGCCTTTTTTACAATTTAGACCTAAAACTCACAGAGGGTGGAGGATGAAGACAGAGAGTGCCCACTCAGCTAGAACTTCAACTTATGATAGCTTGCACCTTCCCCTTCCACTTCTGAAGAAGCAAGCGAAGTGGCTGTCATGGAGATGCAGGGCTTGCTACCAGCTAAAGATCCAGGTGATTCAAGCCACCTGCCAGGAGGCTGGGGTCCAGTTCCCAGGAGTCTAACTTTCCAAGTGGGAAAGCACACTCAGGCAGGAAGTCTGGGCTTCTCCTCCAGGAAACAGTTCTCTGCTTATAACGCTCTCATCTTAAAACTTCAGAAATGGTATCAAGGACTCTGAACATATCTTGGGACTTTCAGGAATTTCACGGTTTTATTTAGAGAACTAGAAATTTTACACAAAGTTTTTTTTTTTTAAGTGAGGGAGGGAATTAACTTTAATATGGATTTTATTGTAGAATGTATTGTAAGAGAAATGCTAAAGAAGACAAGGGTACCTCTAAGAAGGTGAGCTTTAATTTAGACAGCGAGCTTCCTCTGGTGAAGACACAGCCATGTCTCAAGGTTTTCTAAGGTGTACATCTAGCTCCCTCTGGTGGTCCTAAAAAAAGGTCCTCCGTTCCAGCATTCATCTGGTTTACCATTGTATGTAGACGATTCTTAATACTCCCTCAGTAGGAGATCTCCATACTTAATGCATATTAAATTCTTACTCTTCGGTAGTTTATGAAGATGAGAAAACTATATTCAGGAATTCTGAATTTATTAGCTCTTTAATTTTCTAGACCTCTCTGAAAATATGCTGGGATAATCACACTTAGTTCTTCCTCTGAAAGTCAGTAACATTTGAGATGACAATTGACTGTTAGAGACGATGCAAAATGCTAACATTTGGTAATCGTCAATGGACATAATGACCTAGCAGCCGAGGCTCCACACCTGCTTCGCTCTGACCCTAATGCAGTTCAGGACAGAGATCCATCCCTGAACAGGAGATTTACAAATGCCACCCACCGGTAAAGAGAAGGCCAGCCAAAGCCTGGCCCAGCGCCTGGTGTCTGCTGGATGCCACAAAACGCTAACTGCCATTCCAGCCTCTCCTGGGGTTCGGTACGCCCGGCACTGGAGGAGCCTGGCCTGGGCTTTCATATTAACTGGGAAGGACGAAGCAAAACTGACTTTTTTGTGTTCTGCTCCTTAGGAAGGATTTGGAGACTTCAATTTAAAAAGCCGGAGAACAGGGACCGCGGGATGGAGTTGGGAGCGATGCACTCTTCATAACCGCCCTGATGCGTACGGGGGCACAGGCTCTAGATTATTCCTTGCCTCTTCAATTTTTTAAATGAAGTATGCTTCTTTGGGTTTTTACTCGTTTATGGCAGTAACGGCGGCAAGCCCTGTCTGCTTTACAAGGGACTGAAACACAAACACTGCCGAGAGTCGCCTCCCAGGCGCTCGCTGGGCGGCCAGGAAGCCGCACCCCCGCCTGTCCGAGCGAGTTCGCGTCGGGGAACCCGAGCAGCTCCCTGTCCACCAGCACTGGGCGCGCGAGCTGCTCTCGGAACCGACCAGCCCCCGGCCGCGGACTTACCGCCCTCAGGCCCCCAGCCCGGCCGCTCCGTGGGGCCGGGCGGACGCCGGACGCTCGGGCTCCGCGGCGAGGCGGCTGCGGGTCCCACGGCGCACGAAGGTGCCTGCGGGAGACAGCGGCGCCGCGTGAGGCCGGGCGGGGCGCAAGCGGGGCTGGGGCGCGGGCCGCGGGCGGGACTCACCTGCACCCCCACCTGCACCAGCAGGAGCAGCCAGAGCGCCGCGCCCCCGGGGGCCCGCCGGTGCCCGCCGCCCCGCGCCCGCCGCCCGCGCTGCGCCCCCGCGGGGCCCGCGCGCGCCTGCATCCCGGCTGGTGGGCCCGGCTGGCGGGCCCGGCCGCGACGAGCGACTGGGCACAGAGCACCCGACCCGCCGGCCTCAGGAGGGCTCCCGCCGCGCCCCGGCCGCTGCCCCGGGCTTATCACTGCGGCCCGGCGGGCGCACCGTGGGAGAGCCCGGAGGGGGCGGGCCGGAGGGCGCAAGGGGAGGAGGGCGGGCAGCAGCGGGACGCCGGAGAGGCGCGGCCACCGGGCGGGTGGGGGAGCCCGGAGGCGGGGGCTCCTGGGCGGGGGTGGGGAGCACTGGGGAGGCCCCCGACGCCAGTGGGCCGCAGGCGGCGCCTCGCTGGGCGCCCGGGGTACGTAGGCAGCCGGGGCGCAAGGCGGCTGGGGAGGGGCCATCCGCCGGGCGCCTTCTGGGGGTGGGCTCGCCCGCTCTTCGCTAGCCCTACCTCGAGGCCTTGACCTGCGTCGCCGCCGCCGTGCGGGCACCTGCTGCCGGCTGCACGGCGCCGGGCCCCCCGGGCTCCCCTCGCGCCCGGTGTGGAGGTCGCGCGCGGAACCGGGCGCCTGGACGTCCGAGGCCCGCGCAGCCCTGAGTGTGCTCCGGCGTGCCCGCGGCTGGGGAAGGATGGGGGTCCGAGAGGGGCGAGCCGCGGGGAAGCTTCCACGCCTTCGGCCCCGCGGATGTAGCGGCGCTCCTGCCCCCACAGTCACCGCCGCTTTCCACCGGCCTTGCACGCCTGCCAGTGTCCCTGGGGCTGCGAGGTGCCTGGGTGTAGCCGACTGATCCAGAAGCCTTGGAATGGCGGGTCGGTCCTGGCCCAGCCAGGAGGGCTGGGCTACTGGGGCTTGAGGGGGTCGCAGACGCTGCCACAAGCCTGACAGTAAGCCCTGCCGGTTCTGTCTGCCGATGGGTTGACTGTGGAACGCATGCGAGTGCGTTAGACTGCGCACAGGTACATGACCCTGGGTGCGCATGCACGTGCCTCACTGCCAGCTGGTGTGGGCATGCGCATGCGTTTGTGTGTGAAGGCAAGCGTGTACTGGTGTGCGAGTGCACGTGTGTGCCAGTGCGCATGTTCGGACCTGGAGTGTCTGTGACCACTGGTCCGCTGATTGCTTCCTACCTACAGGTTGGGGATAGGGGGCGGGTCCAGTGACCCTCCTAGTCAGCTCAGCCTTCCTCTGCCTGTTCTGGACATTTTGGAGAAAGAGGTGGAGAGGAAAGTGGTTGTAGTGGTCTCTGGCCTCCTTTGCTCAGCTAGCCCTGAGCCTGTAGGTGCCTTTTGCCTTTGGAAGTCCTGTAGTGCCAGACATCCTGGCCGCTTCCAGCAGAAGCCCCTGGCTCTGCAGGGCTGTCTCCTGCTACTCATGTCTGTTTACTGATCTCTCTCACACATGTTTATGTGTTTATTTGACAGTTCTCTTCAAAAGTGAAAATATTTTTATATAAATGCCTGCACTGGCGCAACCTTACAAACACCTGCCCCTCCCCTATCCCCAGTCCCCGAAGAGAGTCCCCTTGGTGTGCAGACTGCCAGCTCACACTGGTGGGAACTGAAGGAGGAGCACCAGGTCTGGCATAGGTTCTGCAGGAGGCAGAGATGCCGCTTGTCCTGAGTTCTTTGCATACCTGATAAATGGGAATCGTTAATTATCTCTCAGTATGTCCAATGTAACCTGCAAGGGAATCAGATCTTCCAAGTCCATCTCCTATCACATGAACCAGTCCAGGGGCTCTCTTTTTATATGTTCAAGCAGGTGTCATGAAAGAATGGCTGGTAGAAAGGGATTCAATTTTAGCATATTTTTTACTTTTTGAGTAACATGGAAGTGGGTCTTCATAGTTAAGAAAGAAATGATATCCTTTACAATGATGAGTGAACATTTTCCAGGTCTTTCAGCGGTGCACTGAGTTCAGTGTTTATTCTTGGCCCCAAGTGTCAAGCCTAGAGAACTCAGACAGCGGGCAAACTCCAGTCTGGGTCTGGGCTCATTGCTGAGGGAAGGGAAACAGGTGGACTGCGATTGAGAAAGGCCATGGGATGTGATGAGTGATGGGATTTGTGATTTCTAATAAGATTTGCGAATTTGGTCTTCCTCCCATTCTGGCACAGAGCTCCTAAAATCCTTGGAATTTACCAAGTGATGAGAGCAATAAAGGTGTCTTTTGTTATGTTAATGAGGTGCCTGCGCCTAATGTAGGGGGCTGGTTGCCTAGAGACCAGACCACTTGATTAGAGGGTTGACATTTTCAGTCTCACCACCCAGACCTTCCAGAAGGGTAGGAGGCTGAAGATTGAGATCAATCACCAGTGGCTAATGATTTAATTAATTGAGACTGTGTAACGAATGAAGCCCCCATAATATCTCAACGGGATGGTTTGAAGAGCCTCCGGGGGCAGCAAGCATGTGGGGAGAGAGTGGAGTTGGGAAGGCCCGGAAGCTCCACACTCCATCCCCATACCTGGCCCCATGCATCTCTTTTGTCTGCTGATCTGAGTTATATCCTTTTATAATAAACCAGTAATCTGGTAAGTAAAATGTTTCTCTGAGTTATAAGAGCCACTCTAGCAAATTAATTCATCCCCCAAGGAGGGACATTTGGAGCCTTCCAGCTATAACCAGTTAGAAGTTCCGTGACAGCCTAGATTGTGGTTGGCATCTGAAGTGGGGGTGGAGGAATGAGGGCACTGCTTCCTGACCTGTGGCAGGGGCAGACTGGGCCAGGCCCATGACATGTCTTTAAAAGGTCATTTGTAGGCCTAAGATGTAGAAGCACCTTCTGCAACAGGAAAAATAGTGTTTTAAGAAACAGGAAAAGGAACCTTGCGATGTAAGAAATTCGCAGTCAGCGTGAATGATCAGGACACAGCAGTGTGTCATGTGGATCATATGAAACTAAGAACTGGCATGAAGCCTGGCTTAGTACCTCAGCAATCAGGAGCTGCTGGAAGACACACTCGTCCGAATGGTCCGCCAGGGGCAACACGGTGCCTGCCTCTCCTGGAGATCCCTGTATAGGTCCCAGCAGGGCCTGAGCCACTCAGGTCATCAAGACTGCGAGGGTCACACACATTGGCTCTGTGGGACCAATGTCCTTCTGATGCCGGAGAGTCAACCAGATGTCCTAAGTGTCTGATTCAGACGCAGGTTCTGCTGTCGGCTCTGCTCCAGAATCTGGTTTCCTCCTTCACTTTGAGACTTTACTCAGGAAAACACAGAAAGGGAAACTAGAAACCAATGAGGACACTGTTGGGTTTCTGAGTTCAAAATATGGTAAACATAAGCCCCTTTTCCTTTATTATTAAACACACAGAAAGTTGGCTGAGGTAACAATAATAATTTATATTCTACAAAACATAATTATTAATATAATAATTATTTATTGGGATAGATTATTATAACTATGATTATACATGAACTATTTGTTATTATTGTTGGTGATTGACACTCTCCTGACTCTCTCTCCCAGGCCTCAAGTTGCTTATAAGGTAAGAGGTGTTTAAGTTCCATCCCTTGGAAACCTTATGGTAAAACACTCAGCCCTTGTTCTCATGTGTTGTAACTCCAGGGGAAAATATGTTCCCAGCCCAGGGCAAATAACCTTTGAAACTGAAATCAGTCAAAGGGAGAAATAAAGTGGGAGAAATCTGTTTATTGCTGCAAGCAGTTGTCCACTTCTACTCACCCATTTCTTCCATAACCCACCTGTAAAAGGTGCCCCACCCAACTGCTCAGGTCCAGATATACCCTCACTCCCACCCCGTGTAATCACCTATTGATATGGACATGGACTACTTCTCTCCATCCCTTGGAAACACCTATTGATATGGAGATGCACTAAGGCCAGGTGAGAGATTCTGGAAATACTGCAATTTTACCCACACATGTCATCTGGTCCATAGTTACCTGGGCTTCTGCTACATAACTTTTTTTCTAATAAGTACATGGTAAAATAAGTACTGAGGGTTAATGTATCAGTTAGCTACTGGTGCATAAGAAAATGCCCCATAACTTAAAATGAGAACCATTTCTTTTTGATCATGGAGCTGCCTGCTAGCTGGTTACTTGGTGGTGGGGACTGGGTGCTGGTTTTGGCTGGGCTTGCTCACGAGTACTGTTATGAATTTTGCAAACAAGGAGATATACCTATAAATAAAAAGGCAGAGACCAGGTGATGCCTGTACAGCCATGGAGTACCAGGGGTTATCCACAAACCCCCAGGAGCCAAGGGAGGGACATGACCAGAGTCTCCCTTGCAGTCTCAGATGGGACCAACCTCGCTGACATTTCCTCTAGGACTGCTGGCCTCCAGAACCTGGAGTCAGTACATTTCTGTTGTTAAACTTCCCAGTCTGTGGGACTTTGTTACAGCAGCCCCAGCAGATGAGTATAATCAGCATGAAACAGTAGGTTGTCTGTCTATGGACCAGGAATGAGTGTTAGGTATAAATTGTAACATGACCATCCATTCATGATCCTCTTTCCATATCAAGGCCTCACAAGACTGCAACTGAGTCCAGCCTATGAGCTCAGGGGTTGAGCCCCTCCCCAGGGAAAGAGGTTCAGGTCAGGCTGCTGAGAACAAGCCCGCTGCTCTCCCAGCTCATGCAGGTGCCCCTAGAGGAGGGACCCCTCACTCTGAGAAGGCTCATGGGCAGCGGTCCTCTGCCTGCTCTGCCCATGGAACCTCCCAGAGGCTGCCACATCCTGATGCCTGGGCACCATCACCAGGCACTGACATCCTGGATGCAGGGCTTGGCCTGGGCACCTGCATTTATAACAGGTCCTCAGAAGATTCCATGCGATGCCCAGGCTGAGATGGAGCCAGAGAGATGAACCTCCCTGAGGGAGGGAGGATGAGGAGGGTGACAGTGGGGGACTGGCTGAGTGTCTGTCGGGGGGATGGTTGTGGAACCAGGGTGTGCCCAGTCCCTGAAATAGCATGCTGGCTTTGAAGTGGCCCCACCTTGAAATATTTTGTGTGTGTGTGTGTGTGTGTGTGTGAGGGAGAGTGCCTGCAAATGGGCACGGACAGTCATGGCCGGGCTTGAGTGCATGTACGTGTGTGTGTGTGTGATTTATGTCAATCCATTAGTTAAAGTAAGTTATCAAGTGATGTGCATA